GGTACAAGTATCTTTTTCAATCAGTGTTTTTGTGTCTTTTGGGTAGATACCTAGGAGTGGGATTGCTGGGTCGTAAGGAAGCTCCATGTTTAGCAAAAACTATAACTATTTTAAGGAATGTAATGCCTTAATCCAAGGAAGCCAGACATTCCAAACTATTAGAACGGCTATAACAGTCACTCAAAGGGGCATTTTTCAAAATGGCGACCTACTTCAGTTTTCTCTTTTCTCATTTCTGCTGTTTTTCAGACAGTTTTCCAACAGATTCTTAAAAAAAAAAAAAAAAACCTGCTGCTAGCAGCAGTTGGATTCTGGAAGAAGAGGAAAATGCAGCATTCCTAGACACCGCCTCTGTCAGAGGTACCAGGACGTCTAAAGCACTGGGTTTATCCACTGGCTACTAAATGCCAGAACGCATCTCTCTCTGTTCTCCATCGCAGCCCTAAGGGGAAGGAGCTAGAATCCTCCCATTTCTCAGTTCAGAGATCACAGCAGGGGCACCAAGCTGATGCTGTACAATTTTAACAAGCAAAATTTTGAGGAGTGCTGATGGTTGTTTGCTTGGTTTCTCCGATCTAACGCTGCCTCCCCGAGGTGGGCTTTACCTGGACAGCCTTCTCCTTCAGCGCCATCAGCTGAGCCTGGCTGAAGCCCCTCACGGCCCCCAGCAGCTCCACATTCCTGATGAACGTATCTTCCTCCATGCAGAGCAAGTCCTCAGGGGCCCAGCAGGCATTGGCTTCCGCCAGCCTGAAGATGTCCTCAGAAGAGGGGGCCAGGCCTCCGTGGCAACCTGGAGAAAGGGGAGGCACAGGGAGGGAACGGGGAAAGGAGAATTTCAGGAAAGGTGGGTCTGTTTCCCATTTCATTGAAATGAAATGAGTAATGTTCTTCTCCGCTTGGATTTATTTGCGAAAGAAAGTGTAGTTAGAAATGGAGAGAAATGGAGGTGGGGCTTCTGGCTCATTAACCGCTAATAAAATTGTGGAAATGTCAGCTTTTTTGCACAGCCACATGCACACAGTAGGAGCTTTGCAGCCGGACTGCAAATGGCTTGAAGGCATAGGAGTGGCTAGTGAACAATTCTAGCTTCAAATTCAAATTCCAAACCCCTTTTTTCCTTATCTATAAGACATCTGCTCCAGTCCCTAAGATCAGTTCCCTGAACGTCTCCCCAAAACATTGGTATCAATGTTGCCGGGCAACTGCTGATTGGAAGGTCAGAGGAGGACAACAGACCCCATTCAGGACAGGAAGGCCCGGGCACCTCTACCCTGGTCATCAAAGAACTCAAGAAACTACCAAGAGACAGAAAGGAGCAGGAAAACATGGAAATCAGCATTTTGGTGAGATTGTCAACACAGCCTGACAGAGGCAGCACCTGTCTTTAACCAGCGAACTCTCTAGAACCCTTAAAGAGATTCTGGGGACTGCTCAGTGAATGGGCCGCCACCCTCATGACATCATAGATGACTTCAACCATGGTGTGCTACAAAGGAAAATGTTTCAAAGATCATTTGGGGAATAAATGTGTTTGTTGCAGGAAAGCAAGCACAGACTGTCAATGATTATTATCTCAATGCGGCTTCTGACTCACTTTCCTCCTCCTGCCTGACACAGGTCTACACTCAATAGGTGTGTGATACCTACCAGTTATCAGATGTTTCCTACATGCGAGGCACTGTTCTGAATATGCTTTCAGGTTTTTAACCCATCGATCCTCACAATTACCTAGCCAAGGAGGCGTCTTCATTATCCCCATTTTACAGCGGACAGGAACAGAGAGGTTAAAGCACTTACCCAAAGTCACACAGCCAGCAAATAGCAGGCTCAAGGTTGAAATCCAGTCAGCCTGACCCCAGACCTGCAAATGCTTAAGCTACACAGCCATTTGGCCTCAAATTTAAAGATTTTAATTGTTTTGAAATGTTGTATATGTTCTCCCATTAAGCCTACTGGCCTGAGTAAGAAGTAAAGGAGGGCAGAGTAGGGTTCCAAATCACTTGACAACGGCGTAAGTCTTGGATCTATAGATCCTTGACATTCTACTGCCTGGCAAACATTTCCCCTACTCCCTTCACCAGGAGGCTTGTCGATGCAGGCTCGCAGTCAAAACACAGGCTCAGCTGCCCCAGGAACCCTCACCGAGGCTGCCGTCCAAGCCAATGGTGTCCAAGCGGGTGCACTCCTCACTGTTGTTCCGAACAGACTGAAAGACAGCCCAGAGGAATTCTCGGGGGAGCAGATGCCCAACCATCTTGCTCGCTGTTTGCTGAAGGATATCAGGAAACTGTGTGTAGGGGAGAAGATGAAAGAGAAGGAGCAAATAACGAGAGTCCATTAAGTCGATTTATATCAGAGTTTAAACTATAATGCTACTGACACTTTGGGTTTTCACCCTTTGTAGGAAATTCCCATATCAATGTCATCCCTAGACCAACCAACCTAGTCTCTAGAATCACAGCAGATGACACCAAACCTCAATAATAGTCTAGTTAATAATTTACCCATAAATTACTTTTCACCCATCAGATTTTCAAAAATAAAAATGAGGGCTCTCCCTGGTGGCACAGCGGGTTAAAGCACTGCACTAAGAAGCTAAAACCACTTCTGCATGAGTTCGATCCCCGCCTGCCCCGGAGGTGACCACATGGCGCCGCAGACCTCTCCTGACCCGCCCGCTGCTCCCCTCAGCAGTGTACTTCGTCGATCTGCCTGTTCTGCTCCCCACTCTGTCTCTGGTGAAGCCTCTCACTGCCCCTGAGCCTCTCACTCTCACATTTTAAAAAAAAATACAAGAACGTGTACAGGGGAGGTGGAGGATTTTTCAGAAAAGAGGAGAGAGAATCCGAAACAGTCTTGCCCTTGAGACAGGCTGAGGAACTAGAAACGTGGGGTGAAAGGGAGACTCGTTTTCCTCCTAGGGAGAGTTGGGGTTTTTTTTAACCTGTAACATGTTTTACTTGTTTTATTAAACATTTCATGCAGTAGAACAAAAAGCATAGGGAATACTGCAACGAAACACGCAGTCACCCACAGCCCAGCTTAAGAAATAAAACATCACACGTAAATTGGTAGCGGCTCCCTGCTTCGTCTCCCTCCTTCCTCAGATCAAATTCCCTGAATTTGATCACATTTGATCATCAGCCTTTCTCATGCATTTTTAAACCTCTCTTACACAACAGGATTTTTTTCTTGCAGGTGCTTAAAATTAATTTAACCAGTATCTTCCTTTACTTAGTATCCTACTACACACATCCACTGGCAAATCACTTTTATTTTACTGTGTTATGTTTTGGACATAAGACATCTGTCATTTTGAAAGCCGATTTTTTTTTTTTAATGTTAAGGATATACGTTTTGGTCTTTGCTGCTTATACTGCACCTCTGCACACCCAGAGGATGGCTTTTCCCTTGACTGGCCACTGGAATGTATACTGGGCCTGTGGGACCTGTATGACTGTGCTAAGTGCTCAGAACTTGTCAAGCAAACAAGGCGTGTGAGCTTTGCCGTATGAGTACACAGATGGGGCGTGGGCCGGGCTCAGGGGTCAGTGTGACTCTGGTTTGCCACATTCAGTCCTTCCCCACCCTCCCTCTACAGGGAGGAGACTGCTCCCTGCCCCAGGGAGGCTGGGCTTGGTCATGTGACTTGCTGTGGCCAACGGAAAGTGACAGCCAGCCCGGACCTTAAGAACTGCTCTTTTTTACACTTCCTCTTTTAGAGTTTTGCAGTGAGAAGGACAAGCTTCAGGTAGCCCCCGGCCCCAAAGGCAGATTTACAAAGCAGAACTGTCCCAGTGATCCTGAGACCAGTCAGCAAGAAATAAATGCTCACTGTTGCCACGTTTATGTGAGGCTGTGCCATGCAGCAAAAGAAGACTAATTCATGCTTCATTTCAGGGCTCCTGGTGTACACCATCTAAATCTTGGAGAGTTGTGCAAGCACAAGGCTCGATAATGATTTGTTCTGGATCAAACACTGGCATGAGTGACTGCACACGTGACACATATGTGCTCGTCTGCATAAGGCATGATGGCTGTTAGAGCCCTAATGTCCACGTATGTGGAAAGCACATGAAGAGCTAATGGTGGTAGTTAAACGACAGCTCCAGGGGTACGTGCATGTGCTAGGAGGCAGCAAGACCCAGAGTCCACTTAGCTGATGCTTCACTGTCTCTTGATGACGTGGAGTGAGAAACATCTGAGGCTTTGAGGCAGGGAAGAAATTTCCAAAATAACAAATTGGCAGAAAAACCAATGGAATTTAACTGACCACACTTTCTCTCCCTTTCCAATTCCTTCAACCTTCTAACAATAAAACCCAGAAGTACCTTTGTGGCAATAGAGCTTAAGTCATCTCCTGAGAAAAGTACTAGAAAGGGTCCCAAGTCCTTCGTTGTCTCAGCTGTCCAGTTCTGGGGGAGCCTAAGAGGAGATAATAAACAGTAAATCGAAAAATTGTTCTGTGGCCCTTGTCCCCCAGCATCCTTTTCTCTCAGAAACAGACTATCTCTTATCTGGGGAGGCTGTCGATCACTTCCTTCTCTAAGAAAATGGTCATGGGCTGACCAATGAGAGGCTTCCCTGTGCATTTTGATAGAACTGATAGAGGAAATCTTTCTTCTGATATCTCTAGCAGTTAGGAGGCTACTGGAAGCTATTCCTATCTCCAATAGAGAAAATAAAGACTTCATCAGGGAACACAAAGGAACAATCCTGATGATATAATTTGAGCTTCTGGATCCAGCCATGCCTGAAGTCCACACCTGGAGTTTTCCATTAAGCCCCATTTCTGAGCTCAACAAATCCCCATTTTTAGCTTGAACTGAATCACAGAAATTGTCACTTATTTTGCAGTGTTTCCTTCCTCTGCTTCCTCAATAGAATAGTAATGATATATTTGCTCCCTTCAAATTGCTGTAATAGTCTTTTCTTGCAGCAGGATAAAATTTCCTCTTGAACTTCACAGGATAATAACAGTCCTGAGTCAGAATCCACTCTTGTTCTCACTTATACCTCACTATGCATGTGAGGACCTCTAAAGGAGTTTCTGCCCAGTTACCAATGACAGCTCTTCTCCAGGACTGAGGCAAACCACTCTTCCCCAGTATCTCTTTGATTAAAAGCATTATTCCACTGGACAGTAAACTCCATGAGCACAGAGCCATATTTCTCTTACTAACCACTATATCTTCAGTCCTACTAACAGCAGCGGCCACATTCTCCTTACTAAGTGCCCACACTGTTGCAAGTTCTTTCTATGTATCAATGCATCTACTCATCACAGCGGCCCAATGGGGCTATCACTGTCCCATCCTACAGAAGCAAAACTAGCAGGCAAAAAACTGTTCTTTTTCTTCCCCCAGGCTACACAAACAGTAGATGATAGGAAATTTCAAACTCCAGGAGTCTGGGGACCACGTCCATGCTCTTAAACTCTAAATAAGAGCACAGTGCTTGAGGCACAGTCATTATTCCAAAAGACACTGCTTGTCTAACAGCTGACTAATAGCAGGACCCTACTCACACATCTGGTGTAACTTCAGAAATCCCTTCCTGGGAGAGAACAGCTCTACTTTTCCCCAGGAAACCCTCACTCAGCCACAGCTGGCTGTGCCTATATTACACTGTTACTATTTCATAAAAATAATACCTCCTTTGCATGTGTAAAGCACCACCTTCCCAAACTCTCTCCCTCTGCCTGTGCTGAGATGTATTGGTGACGTGAGGCCTGCAAACAGCTATTGTTCTCACTTCAGGGAAATGAGGGCCAAGAAGAAAGGTCATACTTCCAAAGAATGACTTGCCTCATCCTAAGCTAGAGAGTCTGTTCTGAGTGCAGGAGAGCCCAGGCTGTGTACCCTTCCCACACGCCCCACCTCACCCTAAAGCCAGGCCAGGCCCCTCCTCACCCATGCTGCTCCAGGAGTCTGAGCCTCACTGCGGCCTTCTGCTCTGGGCTGAGGCCTGGGCAGTCCCTGAGGCTATGCAGGGCGGTAGCCCAGGCCCTGGGGGACACTCCATGGTGGATGATGGCCGCCGGCAAGTGACAGAGAAGATTCCCCACGACATCCACGTCAAACTCATCAGCCACGGAATTATTCTGCAACCGACAAACAGAGCTTTGTGGCAGGATCCAGCCAGCTCAAGATCTAGATTCCTTAAAAGCATGGATTGCAAAGACCCCCATCTGAGTTGCTTCCCCTGCCACATGGTTAGTAGAGAAAACTGTTTTTACCCCAGGGAAGCAGGCCTCGAAACCATAGAGCAGGAGTGGAGCACTGAGCAGAGTCTGACTATCAAAATAGCACAAACTTAGGGCTCTCTCTCATGGCGCAATGGGTTAAAACACTGCACTATGAAGCTCTCCAAAGCCACTGCAGCACGAGTTCGATCCCCGGCCAGGGAGCTGACTCACATGGTGCAGCAGACCTCTACTGTCTCACCCTCTGTCTCACCTGCTGTATTTCAGTCAATCTGCCTGTTCTGTTCCCCACTCTGTCTCTGGTGAATCCTCTCACCCACCACAACTCTGGCCTGTACCCCAGTTCTATAATCACAAGTAATAAATAAATCTTTAAAAAAAAGAAAAGGCATAAACTTGTAAGAACAACACCTCCACATTTGTGTGGCCCTTGTACGCCTTCAAAGCTCTTTCTTAATGTGAAAAAAAAAGTACTGCTTATCGAGTGCTTACTATCCACCAGGTGCTCCTCTTAGTGTTACAGAGTCACTTCAGAGTCACTTTAAGAGGAAAGTGCTCGTAGTCACTTTGGAAAAATGAAGAAGCTGCCAGGTGAGGACTCAAGACTCACTCTGCACTGAGCAAGCCCTGCCTGCTCCAGCCCTTGAGAACTGCACTAAGAGGCATTACTGCTCCTGATTTATGGATGATGAGACGGAGCCTCAAGCAGAAGTGACCTGTCCACAGCCTCAGAGCCAGCCACTGGCAGGGGCATTTCTAGAACCCAGTCTCTGTGTACTGTGCTTGTTCAAGTCCCCCAGAGCAGTTCTGGAGATTCAGGCCCTGCACAGGCAATCTCCAGAACCAGTGGCCACAGCTGTCCCCACAGGGACTCTAGAACCAGCTTTGGGACCCACAGGCCGACTTCTGGCCATCTCAGCAAATCGAGATCACACCCATATCCCCTGAGGGGTCCCGAAGATGGCCACAGACATCCAGATGGGGGGGGGGTCACCCTGGAGGCTTCCTTACCAGGCACTGCAGTACTTTTCGGAGGACCAAACTCTTCTTATGGGAATCTAAAACCAACGAGTCCAACTGGCTCCTGCCCAGGCTGACCAGGAAGGGCACACACTGTGAGTCTGGGACAGAAGCCAGATAGCGAGCCCTGGAAAGAGACAGGACAAGGAAGGGAAACACCAGCTGCTCTGTATTTGCCCCCAAACCAAGTCCACTTGCTCAAGAGCTTATCTCAGGGGTTCTGTAAATGTCCTCCTCTGTGAGGTTCTGGCTTGTGGACAAGTAGCAAGCCTCCCATCCATCATGGTCTTATACTATGGGTGGGAACAAACTTTCCATCATGCTCCTCTTCTATGCCCAGTATCACTAGTTAGAGACTGGAATCTCTATAGCCAGATGCTGACTGACAGGCTGGTGAAGGGAACATGAGGAAAAAGGAAAGAAAAGCTAGAGAGACTGAAATAGAAAATGAGGAAGAAAGAGAAGATCTACCAGTCCCATCATCTCCAGTCCAGAATTCCCACTTAAGTTCTTGACCATATTTTCTCAAAAGGGGGCAATATCGCCCCTAGGGGGAAGAAAGTGGCACAGAGGGAGGGAAGGAGAGAAGATGTCTTAGTTGTTACATGACTTGGAGCCACCAAGATTCAACCCTAGTCAACAAAATCTTAATCCTTGAAGCACTCTCATTAGGAAGAAATGTTTTCTCTTGGGGAGACACTAACCAATGTCTCCCTAATGTGGGAAAAGGCAGCTCTATTCCCACAAGACCTATTCTCATGCCACTTGACTGTTCCAAACCCAAACCCAAAAATTCTTTTCCCCTCGATCGCCAAATCTGTCATTGCTCTCCTTAGTATTTCTCAAGTCTCTTCTTGCCTCTCCTTCCCTAGTACACCTGTCTATTTCTTCATGAACTCTTTCTGCAGACATCTGCAGAGCATCTATTGTACACCAGACACCATTCTGGGCCCCAGCTACAATCCCTGCTCTTAGGATACGTCCCTCCAAACTGGGGAAGAAACACAGAAGACAGTGAATTAAACAGGTCATTTCTGAGCGTGGCTTTTTAATGGAGAATGACGGTGGGGCAGCCAAGGGGACCTCTATTAAGACAGGACTATTTGAGCCAAAATATGGGTGACTGGAAGAAAACAGCCATGCCAAGGTCCAGGTGAGAAATGAGCTCCGGGCCCTCCCCCTCCAGCCAGGCCCCGCCTGCATGCTGTCCTACGTGAGCAGTGGTGACGACCTTCCTGAAACATAGATCTGAGCCCAGATCATGAGTGAGAGACCACGAGGTCACACAAGCCTCCCCTGATCTGCCCATGCCTCCCTTCTCCCAACTATCTGCAAATGCACATCACGCCTCCCACTGCGCACCCCTGTACCCACACTGCTGGACCCCCCCCCTCTCGACACCCCTCCTGGAATGTCTGTCTTGAACTCTGTCATTTTAATGCATGCTTTGAGTTTTGGTTCCATCTCTCTGAGCCCAAAGGAGACAGAGTCCCTGTTCTGTGTCCGTTACCCTTTCCTACGTAACTGCACCTGACTTTTTTGGAGAATCACCCCTTTACTTTAAGCCCTAGTGGTTGGGGTTGGGGTGGAGCCCACTTTACTCCTGGCTTTTAGGGTGCAATAAAGAACTAAACCAGCCAAAATTATTCACCCTCCCAACCCCCAGTGATTGGTCCAAAGAGAACAAATTGACCCAACCTAGGCCAACAGAGTCAAACCCAAAACCTTCACTAAAAGAATGGGAACAGAAAGTCTTTCCTTTCCCTGGTTATGAAGCTGGAAGATGTAACCTTGATCTGTCTGGAGCCATCAATGAAAAGTATCTTGCCTGACAGAGAGGCTGACAGAGGAAAACTGAGTCAGGAAACAGACAGATGGTATCATTTGAGCCCCTGGATCCAGCAATTAAGTTATCCTGAAAACTAGTGTATAGTAAGCACTCAAATATTTTTGAATGAATAAAGTCAGTAACACAAGAGAAAGAAGAGGGAAAGTAAAGAAAATGGAAAGAAACAGTCCACACCATGATGGAAAAGCAGGGCACCTCCCAGGCCCAAGTATCCACACATTCCGCAAGAAATTGCAATGGCTGGTATCAGCCCTGATGCCGCTGGAATCTGGAGGCAGCCCAGACGGGGCCTGCTTCATTAGCTTTCGCGTAGGCTTTGGTTTTAAAATAAGAAGGAAAAGCAGAAGCGTTTGTCTGAAATACCTACGTGGGGCCCTGCCTTTAAATCCTGGCCCTCAAGGGCTTACTTGTCAAAGGCCCGTTCCACTGTGCGGCTGGCCCAGGCCCTGTGCAGAGGGTCACTGTGGCTCACCAATCTTACTGCTGAGCCAGAAAGAGGGGTCCACATTCACTTACGGGAGTGCAGCCAAGAGGAAGGGCGGCAGAGAGGACCTGGCGGCCTCCCAGTATTTCCACGCCAAACAATTAACCTGGAAGAGTAAAGCGGTTCCAGGAATTTAGTCCAACAGCAGTAAGAGCAAAAGCAGATTTATCTTCTGCGTGTCAGGCACAACCCTGCATGTTTTGGTATGTTGACTCATTTCGTAGACACCCAAAGGTGCAGGTACCACTACTGTACCCGGTTTGCGGGTGAGAAAGCTGAGGTAACCACAGACATTCTGAGCGGGGGACAGGAGACTGTATCAAAACAGGGGTAGGAAGAGCTCACGGGACGATGGTGATGGTACATGGGTGAAGTGGTGGCGGGAATTTCTTGGGGACCACGCATGAGATGATAAGTCTCCAGTCTACATTGTGTAAAACTGAAGAATGATGTGAAAAATATATAAAAGAAAATTTCAAAAGAAAACAGAGTCAACCGCAAGATGAAGACAAAAATTCAGGTACAGAATGCTCACCACAGTTTTGTTTAGAGCTTCATGAAAGTGAGATGTTAACGTACTAAGCAGGTTGGCCGTTCAGTGGGTATGGCTAATTCATTCTAATTCACTCATTCTCACTGCGTACATGAGCACACCAAAATCTGAGCCTGTAAATGCTGCAAGATTATTAAATCAACACGCCAGACAACCAGTCACAACCAACTCAGCGTTAAGTTGCGGCCGATCGTACCTTCTCCTGTCTCCGCTTCCACACTGTCTGTGGGTGAGCTCTCCTCACCACTTCCAGTTTAGTGCTGCTTTTCTTCAAACAACTTTTGCTCAAATAAACTCCTGGGTCTCTCTTTTACCAGAGATATACCCTTAATGAACTCCAGTTTAGTATTGGTTAAGTAAATTATGGCACAGCCATACAATGGAATACAATACCACAATTTTGTTTCAACGAGGTAGATTTATGGATATTAACATGAACTGATGTTCACACCCTATTAGACATGTGTATTCCTAAAGTGAAACAAAATAATGTGCTTATTATGAGCTCATTTTCCTCTTTTAAATTACAGATCTACACATATTATTTTTACAACTCTGAGTGTCAATAGCAAAAGTTCCTGTGTGGTTACCTCTGGGCCTGAGATTCTCAGCCTCAGCACAGCTGATGTTTGGGCCAGTGAACTCTGCTGTGGGCCTGTCCTGCACTGTGGAATGCCAAAGCAGCCCCCCAAGCTCTACCCTATCCTCTCATGGCCCCTGCACCTCTGGCCTGTACCCCAGTTCTGTATAAATAAAAAAATAATAAATCTTTATTTAAAAAAAGAAGAAGAAAAAGAAACTTGGATACTTAGAGCATTCTACGAAGGAAATTGAGAAGCCCTGACTCAAGACATGGCCCCACATCATCATTGCGTCTGAATAATCCTGGCATAAATAGCCTCAGACGCCCGTCAATCCAGGCTGCCGGGGAAGGGAAAGAGAATGAGAAGCAGGAAAACTCTGTCAGGTACCTGATACGGTGAAAGCAGCAAGAGACTGTTCTCAAAATAATGGAAATGAGCCATAAAGAAGTCTGGGCTCATGGACTCGATGTGGGAACACGTCACGCCTTTGACCAGCTGCCCTGTGCTGTAAAACAAGACAAGGGACCCGGGAAGAGAAGGGAGTCGGGAAGGGGGAGGACAGGCGTGCAAGAGAAGGCAGACTCGTCGGTCTCGGGCTGCAGGTGGGGCCATCCAGTGCCCCTCCTGGCTGGGGAGGCTCCCCGGGGAGCGTCAGCCCAGGTCCAGGTACACGGTCCCACCTCAGGAGCTCCTCCGGCCTTGGTGTTGCCTCTGACAGCAGCTTATACAGGAACAAGGCCTGAGGAAAGAGAGTCCCCCTCACCATGAGGATCACAGGCTGTGCCCAGCACGGTGAGGCTCTAACATGGAGGAACCGGGATCCCATTTTACAGATGGGAAAATGGAGGCTTCCCAAGCCATGTGACTAACCCAGGGCTCCCCATGGCTAAGTGGCAGAGCAAGGATCCGAACTGGGGTCTGAACAATGCCAGCCCCTCACACGCACCCGGCACACCCGCCCCAGGTGACTCCCTCTGCTCCACTCTGAGCTGGGCGAGAGCAAAACCCCTGGTCCCAGAGCTGGAGGTCAGAGCAAGAAGTCTGCTTCCTGCGCTGTATGAAGCTCCTGACCAGCTGAGGACCCTCCGGAACCCTGTTTCCAAGCCCATCCGCTGGCTCTTGAACACAGATGCCCCTGGATAAACACACCAGGGTGAGCTGGAGAGCAGTGACCTCTAGCAGCACCTGCAGGCAGCGGTGTTTGTTTTAAGGAATGTAATTTTACCAAGTACCTAACTTGCAGACACGATCAGGTAAAGATTTTGTCTAGTTTATAGACTCTAAGCATTGAACATATTCCGGGAACAGAATAAATTATGGCATTAGGCAGAGGCACCTGAGACCTACAGAGAGGCCCAGAGTGGCAGGGGGTAAGTTCCTGACCCTCTGTGTGTGACCCCAGATTCCTCCAGCCCAGGGTCAAGGTCAGGGCCCATGAGCCACACAACCCTCCAGTCTTGCTTGCCTGACTCAGGAAATGGCTGTTGCATTCCACACAAAGGGTCAGGGAAAAAACAAATCTTGCAGGCAGAACTGCAAGAGGTAGATCTGAGGCATCCAGGAGGGGAGGGGGAAGAAGTGAAAACAGGGAGGGAAGAGCACAGGGGACTATGGTGATGGGTCGTAGGCGGGGGGGCCTACTGCGGTGGTGGGAGAACTACAGGGACTACCCCAGAGAGGGGGACTCAAATATTGTGCCAAAATGAACAATGTAAGAAAATATTAAAAAATAATCATAATAATTGGCCCTCCCTGGTGGCTCAGTGGGTTAAAGCACTGCACTAAGAAGCTGAAACCACTTCCGCATGAGTTCGATTCCCGCCTGCTCCGGAGGTGACCACATGGTGTGGCAGACCTCTCCTGACCCGCCCGCTGCTCCCCTCAGCAGTGTACTTCCTTAATCTGCCTGTTCTGCTCCCCACTCTGTCTTTGGTGAAGTCTTTCGCCACCCCTGAGTCTTTGGCCTGTACCCCAGTTCTGTATGCACAAATAAATAAATCTTTAAAAAAAAAATAAACATAATAAATTAAAATTAAATCTCCAAAAAGAATCTCTTAATTCTTATGTAACAACTTATTATTTTAATACCATTATATTAAAAGGGAAAGAAAGTGTTTGCACTGTGATAGCTTCCTTGTGTTTCTGTAAAATCAAATACCCCTTGAAAGGCCTTGCTGTGGCTAAAAGACAATGACACCAAGGAGAACTGACTGGATGAAAAAGAAGTCAGGAAAAGTCCTATGGCCGTGCACACACCGGCCTCCGCAGGGCCACATTTACTGCTCCACATACCACCCACCCACGAGCACGGCCATTGCCAGTCACATCTGACATCCCTGCTCCCCAGGACAATTTATCTCCATTTTGCCCTTGGGAACACGGAGACCAGGTGAGAAGTCACTTCCCCAAAACTAACAATGACAGCTTCTGAATTCACATCCGGGGCCTTGCCCAACTTCTTCACCCTACCTCTGAGTCCAATCACCCGGAAATAAACATTTTTACCAAGTTAACCTTAAAACAGACCTTTCCCAGAAGACAGTCCAATCCCCTCCCTGGTGGCACAGCGGGTTAAAGCACAGCACTACAAAGCCAAAGCCACTTCAGCACGAGTTCAATTCCCAGCCAGGGATTAATCCACATGGCGCAGCAGACCTCTCCTGACCCGCCCGCTGCTCCCCTCAGCAGTGTACTTCGTCAGTCAGCCTGTTCTGCTCCCAACTCTGTCTCTGGTGAATCCGCTCATTTCCCCCTGCACTTCTGGCCTGTACCCCAGTTCTGTATGCATAAATAAATAAATCTTAAAAAAAAAAAAAAAGGAGAAGAAGAAGACAATCCAAGATCCAGGTGTGTTCTGTGGGGGTCGTGGTCATACCTGACTCCACCGAAGCTCCTTTTCTTTCAGGACTGTGAGGTTGAGTCCAGGTTCCCGCCATAAATCAAAAAGAGACACTTCTTTAAAGAAAGCCCCTTGGATTTCCACAATACCAGAGGCAGAATCTTCTGCTTCAATCATCTGCCAAAAGTGAGGAGAAACCTTGGAGGTGCTGAATGGAGCTCTGAGGTAGGCCCAGGCACTGGTCAAAGGCTTCTGGGCCATAAAACCATCAGGTTGCTTGGAAACCTGACAAGGTGGGCACCGTCCTTCACCCCATATTACAGGTAAGGAAGCTGAGGGTGGATTAATTGGCTAAAGGCATGAGATTCAAGTCAAGTCGGTCATATCCCAAAACCCACGCTCCTGATTTTACCTGCATGTGTCGCTGTTCTCTGCAAGGTGTTGCTGGTGCGTTAGGCCAAACACCCTGGGGTTTGCTTTCTTTACTGATTCTGTCATTGGACCTCACAGGTCAGATGGTAAAGGCAGCCCCACCCCAGGCTAGAACAGGAAGAAAGTGCGACTCTGGGAGCTTTCGAGAGCAGCTGGGAAAACTGACTTTTAAAACATTATCATATTAGGAAACCTACTCTAGGAAACATCTTCCAGGGCCTTCTGCCCCCGGCTCTGGGAAGGGCCCAAAGGCCTCGTTCTGAGGAGGGCGGGTGGGCTCCGGAGAAAGGCTTCACCTGGGCAAGGGCCTGGAGTCACAGAAGCCCAAAACCACACCCGAGGGAGCCAAGCGTTTTCGCTCACCTTTCTGAGGATCCCCTGCTGCTGCGCAGGGGACAGGTCTGGCACGTGCCGCGCGACTGAGCTTCTCAGCACCTGCGCGAGCCCCGCGCGCTCCGCTCCGTAGAAGGCCTGCGCGCCCACGCCGGCCAGCAGCGCGCCCACCTGGCTGAGGTTGTGGACGGACCAGGACGGCGCCTGCGGAGACAGAGCAGGCTCTGCCTGGGAGCTTCCGGCCCCGCGGCACGCCGGGCAGGGGGCGCCCCAAGGGAAGGGGGTGCAGAGCGCAGGTCACCCCCGACCTGCCCTGGTTCTCCCTGGGGAATCACTGCGCTGCACGAAGCCACAGCACAAACATCAAGAATCTGAACCTCCTGCACCCGGGTGACAGGATGGGTTTCACAGCTGAGTGTGGACTGAAATTGAGGAGACAGCAGAATTTTAGGGTTCAAGTTTCTGGAGCCCATTCTGCGGGGCTGCCCCACAGGGGCGGTGCAGAGGATGAACCTCTCCCTGCAGCCCAAGAGTGGGATAAATGAGTGTGGGCCCCAAGCCCAGGATGAGGGACATATACGCAGGGCCTCCTGGATGCACCCCACAAAGGGCTCTCCAACACAGCCAGAGCTCCCCACTATGTCATTTGGGGCCAGGCCCTCTGGGTGCTAACCCTCATAATCCCTGCAGCCACTCTGGAAAACATGCTGCTATAACCCCCACCTTACAGGTGGGAACTGAGAAGAGAGAAGGTAAGCGGATCATCCAGGACCCCAAAGCCAGGGCCAGTCCGCTGAGGCCCTCCTGCTTACTGGTCGGCTGGCCCTGCCGTGTGTGTACAACCGGCCAGGGGTCCCCCCACATTGAAAAGAGCACAAAGCTCCAACTCACCTTCTCATGGGCAAAGTATTTGGCAGACAAGACAAGCATCTGGCTCTTGGTCCAGCCAGAGACCTGGTTGAGGGTGGAGATGGCGGCTCGCACAGCCTCAGGGGATAGCGACTCCAGCTGAGAGAGGCTCAAGCCCACCACCGCATCCGACAAGGAGCCCAGGGCCTCGCTGAGCGTCTGGTTCTCCATGGCAATGTCCAGGAGTTCGGCCTTGAGCTGGGGGGAGCAAGCTGGAATGAGATAGAGGGCAAGCCAGTTTGGGGGCTCCCTCTGACTGCACCCTGGGGTAAGGATGGGCCCCGCCACCCCCAGAAAATGAGTGGACCCCATTGACACGCCTGTTCTTGGCCTTCACATGTCTCCAACTCAAGTTATGCTTCAGTTCATTATCATTTGTTACTAAGTCAACTGTAGGGCTGAGCAAGTGGAAATGTTGTTCATTTCATCCTTAACTCCATCACACTCTTAGTCCCTGTCTTCTTGTTGTGCCCTTGAACTCTAGATCCAAGCATGGGACTATTTTTCTTTCATGAAATATGCAGGACCACTGGAGCAGCTGGACTGCAATCCAGACCCCTAACTATGTCATGTCTCCTCCTGGGCATCAATTATGATAACACACAATCTGCACAAAAATATTTCTCAACAGTTACAACTAAGAGTAATAAAAAACAAAGTCTCCTGAAAATCCACCCTCGTAAAAATGACTGTAATTAGCAATTGGGTGTACATATGGGACTTCTTGTGCCTTTATAAGTAAGCACTGCATAAATAAACTAGAGCATGTAGATTTTATGTAGTTGTAATATAAACAGAACTTCAATTTTCGGCTCTGTTTGCTTTTCAATTAAAAAAATAAGTCTTCACGTTGCTGGGCTCACCTTAATTACTTTACTCTAGTATGCCTGGTTAGTCTAGGTAAGGGTTTCCCAGCTGCTTCAGTGGAGGTGATAAACTCATCCACTGTACCATGCCTTGGGTATGGAAAAACCAGACAGGCTCCTGTTCCCTTTTTCGCACCTGAATTCCCATGAACAGTTAATTCCTATCAGAGCAGGGCGGCACGTGTTGGAATGTCCGCTAGGGGGCAGCAAGGTGATGTACAGAAAAAAGTCGCGGGAGGCTGGTTCTGCAGATTGAGCCACACCCCGTCCCTGGGAGCGGGCTCCCCACCTCGCTGGAGGGAAGGAAAGGTGTCGAGAAGCAGTTCTCAGAAGTGACTCTTGACCAGCAGCTTCGGCATCACCTGGGAACTTGCTAGAAACACAGATTCTCAGACTCCATCCCAGACCTGCAGAGCCTGACACTGATCTGTATTTAACCAGCCCTCTGAGAGTTCAACGCACCCTCAGAACCAGAGCGGTAAAATCCCAGGGAGTTCCTTGAGCTTGCTGGGGAGAGATTCTTTTACTGGAAAACAAAAATATTCACAGACCCAGAAAATAGCTATTATGTCAAAGGGGACTGGCGAGTTGATGCTTAGGTGTGAAAGACCGCTGTGGAGTGATTGACAGCATCAAAATTTTCTTCAACATTACTCTCATGTCATCTTTTCAGAACAAAAAAAAAAATGAGAAGGACCAAAAGAAGTGAGAGATTTGGGGCAGAACTGAGACTTTAAGAGAAGAAAGGCGAGATGGTGTGGGAGAGGGGAGAGGGCCAGTTCTGGATGAGCCGCTGCGTCTGAGCCCTGGCCCAGGACCTCAGAAAACGCGCTCTAGTCAGGTCATAGTCCTGCGATTATCTGAGACGCTTTTAAAACACATCCTACCCAGGCCACCCCTACCCCCACCCCCCACCCTACCCCACCCCACCCCATCCCCAGAGCAGTAACACAGGACCTGTGGGAGTGGGGGTGTGAAAGGGAGCTAACAGTGTGGGTGTGAGGCCCATGCTGCATCTTCTTGTGATTCCAGGCACGGCTGCCAGACCAGCGGCTTCAGCTCTCCTGGAAACTGCTAGAAATGCACCTTCAGCCCCCTTGCTGACCAACTAAATCAGAATTTGTATTTAAGATCCCCAGGCAATATTTAAGGCACATTGAAGTCTGAGGCAGCTGCTCTGATAGAATTGTGGTCTGTCTCAGGCTCTTTCCAACACTGTCTTTTGGCCATTTCTTCCCATTTTCAAGTTCCTCCCGGTACAGGAGTCACCTCCTGCTGAGGCTGCGCCCCGCACCCCACTCCCGCCCCCAGCCCTGATTAACCCTGGCTAACAGTGAGTTTGCTCTCAAAGGCCAGGCAAGCCTGTTCTTTGCGCTTCTCTAACTGGTGATGCTGAGGCACCCCAGGGCCCTGGTTCCATCAGCACCTTCTGGACTCCAGCCTGGAAGCCCCTCAGATGGCCACACTTGATCATCTGGTGGAGAAGGACCTGAGCCACGGCAGGATCCAGCAACTCCAAGTCATCGTAGAAACAAACCAGTAGACCCAGCCTGTGGGGAGACAGAAGGGGTGTTGGTGGCAGGCACAGAGGGAGGGCGCTCAACCCCCACAGCACCCCAGTCAGAAGCTAGGTCAAGATCACAGGCAGGTGCTGCCCTAAGCCTTTACCTGAATTACCTCATCACAACCCCCTCAGGGTAAGGGGGCTCATTACACCCAAGTCACAGAAGGGCTAACTGAGGCTGGGGAGCTCAACTGACTTGCCCAGCGCTGGGGGTGGAGCTGGGACTTCAATCTAGAACCATCCAGCTCCACCATCTCCTCCTCGTGGGACAGTAAAAGGCAGCACCAGCCACAAGAAACCCTCCATTTTCCACATGGAGGTGAGAGGTTGCCACCTTGAGGGTTTCTCTCGGGCAGATTTATTTCTAAGGCACTTTACAACCTACACGCCCCCTCCCCAACTTCAAAAGAAAAAAAAAAAGACAAGAACAATGAGGGGCAGAGGCAGGATTCGAACCCTGGACTAGGAAGGAGCATTCGACCTGTTGGCGGAAAGCAGTTGCAGGCCAGCTGCAGCTGGAGGCCCAGCTCTGTGAGATGTCCGACCTCCAGCAGGGTGCTTCTCAGCAAGGGCGCTGAGTGCAGTTGTGCAGTGCTCATGCTGCACTCCTGAACAGGGCGGCCCTGCCTCTGAGCCTTTAATAAAAAAGAGCCTTGTGGCCCTCCCTGGTGGCGCAGCGGGTTAAAGCACAGCACTGAGAATCTAAAGCCGCTTGTGCATGAGTTCGATTCCCACCTGCCCCGGAGGTGACCACATGGCACAGCAGACCTCTCCTGACCTGCCCACTGCTCCCCTCAGCAGTGTGCTTCGTCGATCTGCCTGTTCTGCTCCCCACTCTGTCTCTGGTGAAGCCTCTCGCCGCCCCTGAGCCTCTGGCCTGTACCCCGTTTCTGTGTGCACAAATAAATAAATCTTTAAAAAAAAAAAAAAAGAGCCTCGCTTTGTTCCTCATAGCGCGTAATAGTAAATAGGATGAGGGCGTGAGGAGCACTGGAAGAGAGGCACCCCACCTGGTGGGCCTGCTTCCTGCTAGAGCACTCGTGTATCGGCAGATGCTCCAAGACTTAAGAGGAGCCCTACTCAGCTCAGCCTGGTTGACCAGCTCAGCCTGGCTCCGCCTCTCACTGACACCCTCAGATATGTCCCCAGGAGAAGTCGGGAATAGGCTCTGAAAACAGGCAATGCTGAGCCCTCCCTGGAGGCACAACGGCTTAGGGCGCAGCACTGCAAGCCAGACACAGCCACTTCAGTGTGAGTTGGACCCCCAACCCCGGGAGGTGACCCCCAGGCGCGGCAGACCTCTCCTGTCTCCCCGCTGCTCCCCTCAGCAGGGTACTTTATCCGTCTGCCTGCTCTGCTCCCCACTCTGTCTCTGTGAATCCTCTCACTGCCCCTGCACCTTTGGCCTGTACCCCAGTTCTGTACGCATAAATAAATCAATCTTTAAAAAAAGAAAATAGCCTTTGCTTTTGGCCACTCAGGGAGTGAAGACTGAATAGTAATAAGCATATTGAGAAGAATATTTCTTACTATGTGTGAGGTGTGCTTAAACCTCACAAGGACCTTAACGAGGCAGGTATATGATTCCCTCCCATGTTACAGGTGGGGAAATGAAAGCCCAGAGAGGCCCAGCGGCACCACCAAGATCAGGGTTGGACCCAGGAAGTCCGAGTTCCTTGTCCTTAACCACGGGGCCGTTAGTGTGTAGTCAGAAAAAACAGGGCCTGTCCAGTGGTGGAAATGACTGGAGAAGGGGGAAGAAAGTGGAATCATTTCACATGAGAACATTCTCGACCAGTGACCCTTAACACTGATAGGGAGCATGGTGATGTCAGGGAGCTCTGTGACAGTGCAGTGATGTCAGGAAGCAGATGACTGAGCAGTGCTCACCGGCCCACCCTCTGCACACTCGCTCCCCCAAAGACTGTAACCCTGGCAGGTCACCAGGAGCACAGCTTCTGACCCTCCCCTGCAGGAACCTGCTCCAGGCATCTCACTAAACTCAAGCTGATCTCATCCAGGGGCTCCTCCCCTGAGAGTCTAAACAGCAAGAAGTTCACCAGATGGGGACCCACAAGCTATTTCAATACCTGCATCAACTTAATAGGAAGGTCTCATTTACCCTGGAGTGCAGGTAACTGAGCACAGAAAATGGTCCCTTTCCACGCTCAGACCTTGCTAAGGTTGCAAAAGTACCTGGTACTGGGCCTCCCTGGTGGAGCAAGCATTATGAAGCTGTCAGCAGCCACTGCAGCATGAGTTCGATCCCTGGAACTCTGACCCACATGGAGTAGCAGGGACCTCTCCTGTCTCACCCGCTGCTCCCTTCAGCAGTATATTTCAGTAAACCCTCCTGTTCTGTACCCCACTCTGTCTCTGGGCAATCATCTCACCAGCCCACTCTCTCCCCGCAACTCTGGCCTGCACCCCAGATCTTGTATGCATAGATAAATAAATCTTTTTTAAAAATACGTGGCACAGAGGAGATGCTGAGAAAGCATTTGTGCCCTTCCTTCTTAAGCTTCCACAGGGGGATTTCTGGGGGGCACACTTCCCCTCACATGCACAGACACAGGGGACCATTCAGAGATGGACAGCCCCTCCCACCCCCCACCCTTGCTGCTCAGAAACTGGGGTTTGGATCTGGGGAACAGCCAGGCACGCACGCCCCTTGCCTGTGGATGGTGGAGGTGTTTCTCATGTCAAAACCGGAGGAGCTGATCCGCTCCAGAAACGCCTGGGCCAGGGCAGGAGTGATGTCATAGACCGTGTCCAGCTGCTTGGTGGCGTTGTCATAGCTGATAAATGACCCGATCTGTGGCAAGGACAGGAAGGTGGGTGAGGAGGGTCTAGCTGCCCTGGTGGTCTGTGCTGTTCCCCTCCCCCACCCCCCCCCAGGCATGGAGACATCCAATCTCCTCAGGGATTTCTCAATAGACTCCTCTCCCACCCAGCTGATATCTACAAAAGTATCCTTTGTCTAAGCATCCAAACTGAATATTTTGAAAGCTTTGCACATTTATTTCTGGATTCATTATACTGAGGTCAGAGTACGGGCCTACAAAGTGTCATCTTTGAGAAATCAGTGTTTTGTTAATAGAGGAGTACGTTTTTAATTTGATCCTTGGATGATGAAAAAGGTTGTATTTTCTTTGTTATATACAAATAATAACTATACATACATGTCTATACCTATCTAACATTATTATATGTCCTACTTAGATTCTTTCCGTTCTTGTTCACCTTTGACTGTCCATCTAAGGTCTCGTATGGAAGTGTCCTGTTTCACACACTGTTACTTTGTGCTCATAAACTTGTAGATTTTACTCCTTGTCCTAAGAAAACTCCCTCATGCACAAGTGAAGTCCCTATGACTTCACCTCCCTTCTGTACATTTTTGGATGATGAAGAAAAGTTGCAAATGGCCTCAACAGACCAGGCTCCTTAAGAATTTAAGCTGTCTACTTCCTGAAATTCACTCAACATCGGGAGCACAAAACCCTTAACCAAGGATGACCAACTGAGAATCTTTGGGTCACTATTTGGAAGGACGTCTGAGAATGCCCCAGCCTGCCCTGGTAAAGTGACAACCCTCATTCTGCTGCTGGGTTCATGGTCACCAGAAAGTGTCCAGTCACTTGATCCTGGAACGAGCCAGTCCCTCGTGGCCAGGACCCAAGCCCCAAGCTTCTTATAGATGCCTCTCTGTTGGAGGCATTCTTTGGGTCCACAATGCAGAATGATAAGATCCAACAGATTCCGTATCATCAGGTCAATGACAGAAGAGCCTTGCTGACCGATGAGTTTGGTCACTTTAGACTGTGGACACTTTTCCTCTGCAAACTCAAGTGAGAACCTCATCACTGAGTGGCTAGCAAGAGAAGGGACAAGTTGCTTTTGACCTGGGTCCCTGCTTCTAAGGCCCCGAGGTGCTAAAGCTGCTGCTCTTGGCCTTTCTGGAGCATCAAAATGGCCTTTGGTGACTTCTGGCTTGGAGCCAACTTTTTTCCTGTGTCATGTTGGTCCACGCTGAGCTCTCTCGTGGTCACCACTGTGTCGCTTTTCAGAGCTCTTCTATACCTGACACACCATGTGATGACTGACTACTTGAGGCCTTATTCCAAGAGCTTTCTTTAAAGTCTCCAGGAGAGAGATGAGCTAGGCCAAATGCCCGATTTCCAAGGTAACTTGACCAGCCGGCTGCATATTAAGGGTTTAGAAGACAACTTAGCCCAGAGGTGTCAGTTAACGGGGCACATAAATGAACTTTTCCAGCTTACTTCTCTAGGACTAATTTTCAGAATCTCTTCAAATGATAGATGAACCATGTATCTTCCCAAAATCCATAAGCTTTCTGCACTGACCCATGAAACAGAGTCATCTGCCAAAAAAGGGGAGAGGGATAAATAAGTAAATAAATAAATGCAAGGAGGATTTTGTGCTGGTATGTGACAGGTGTGTCTTTGGGAACCAGATCTCCTTCCTGCACTCACTCCTTCACGAGAGCCACCCATCTGTGAGCCACTGTGCTCCATAAGGTCATAGGTGCCACCCGAGGCCTTGTGACTCAATAATGTGGTCCCTGGACCACCTGGAAATGTGTTTAAAGTGCAGATTATGGGCTCCCTGGTGGCCTAGGGGTTAAGGCTCAGCACTATCACCACTAGGGCCTGAGTTTGATGCCCAGCCAGGGAGCTGACCCACAGGGCGCAGCAGACCTCTCCTGTCTCCCCGCCCTCTGCTCCCCTCAGCAATGTATTTCGGTTGATCTACCTGTTCTGCTCCCCACTCTGTCTCTGGTGAATCCCCTCACCCCCCAGCCCACACCTCTGGACTGTACCCCAGTTCTGTATGCATAAAAAAATAAAAAGGTTTTTAAAAGCTTCTCCTGCTTCCTGACACTATAGATAGTCAATAGTCAACAAGCTGAAGTTATCTGAGAAATCTCTTGCATGCCTCACCTACCCAGTGATTCTTTTCTATATCTTCTCTCGTTTTTTCAATTGTGCTAGGACCCATACCACACAGAACTCGCCACTCCAGCCATTGCTCAGTGCACAGCCCACTTGTCCCTCCACTATTGCCACCACCCACTTTGGAACATCCTTCATCTTGTAACACTGAAACTCTGTCCCCATCCTCTGCCCACCCCAACCCCAACCCCTGGCTGCCACCATCTCACTCCCTTGCTCATGGATTTGACTCCTTTGGGATCTGGGTAAACAAATCCTGTCTGTCTCTGCTTTGGTTGCTAGGAAGCTCAGTATTAAATTGTTGCCTATTCGCTCCTAGATTCCCCCCCCCCAAATGATCTTGTCTCACTTTCATACAGATGCTATAACAGCTTTGGAACTTACAATCTACTCAAAGCCCTCAAGTCCTCCAGCCATCATTGCTCACATCTCACGAAGAAAATGGGGCACGCTGTTGAGGGGGGGAGACAGGACCCCCTCATTTCAGAGAACTCACACGTGAAGCATGCAGTGGTGCGTGGAGTATGGTGAGTGGGACAATCATCTTGGGATTTGCAGGGGGTGGGAGCAAAGGTTGGATTAAAGTCCCACGAGATAAGGAACTCAAACCCTGTTTTCCAAGATGAAGCCCTCTTTTGAGCATGAACTCCCCCTAAAATGCGACACCACCCCCAAAGTCCAGGCTCACCAGTGGCGTTGAAAGAGGCGCGCAGGATTCCCGCCATCCAGGAGAAGAGCGCCGTCTGCGCGTGGGCTGAGGTCTGGTCATAGACATCTCGGAACACCGCGGATCTAGTGACAGCCACGGGCGCGGGTTAGGGAAGAAACGCCCCAACCCGCGGAGGCTGCCTGGGCGCGACGCGTGTCTAACCGCACCTCTCTCAGAACTTATCCCCGTTAGGAAGCACCAGACAGCCGTGACACTAGACTTGCTTTTCGAAGAAATTCTGAGGAAAAGGAATGTGAGTCTCCAAGAGAAATGGTGTGGAGAGATGGCTACAATCCGGGGCTGCACCGAGTGGCTAGAACTCGGGAGATGCTGTTGTCATCCAGCCACCTCAAAACTGCGCAGATCTCAGGCTTCCGCTGCAGACCTCACGCATGACCCTGCCCCCGCTTCTCCCCTCTGACGAGATTATCTCCCTGGGTCCACATCACATCTGCCGGAGCTGGGAGGGAGGCGAGGCACTCACAGGTTCTTGAAGGCATCGCGGCTCAGGTCCCGCGGCAGCTTCTCTGTGATGTCCGGCTGGAGGAAGCTGCCCGAGGACCCCCGCAGCAGCCTGCCCAGGACCTGCACGCACTCCAGGGCGTTCAGCACCTGGAAACACCTCTCCAGCGTGACGAGAAACAGGCTGCGGTTCACACCCGGGCTCTGCAAGGCTTGCTTCCGAATCTCTGACAAGTCAATGACAATGTCGCCCAGCTCCTGAAGGAACCAAACAAGCAGAGGGTCTTGAGGGTTTTTCCCCCATTCGGGGGGAAAGTGGGAAAGGAAGGAGGAAGAGGGAATGAGGGGCCCTGGACTGAGTCAGGCTCAATTCACTTCAACAAATTCCAGCTAGCCCAGACGCCCCTGCACCCACGAGGCCTCAAACACCCTCGCCAAGCGCTCACCAAGCGGTCCTTCTTGCCTCCTAAGAGGCATTTCATGGCGGTGTGCAGCTGTCGGTCATCTGTCTCCCTCAGGTCCTCCAGCAGTTTCTGCGGCTGGTACACCCGCTGCTGCAACTGGATCCCCATGGCTGCCTGCACGGGGTGAGCGCAGGCCCGTGTCAGCACCACGGCCAGCAGCCCGGCCAGGCCACTGGCCACAGGTTGGCCTAGGTTGGCTCCACATTTTTCATCAAATGCCAACATTTGAAAACTGGGGAATTCCTCACTAAGACCTGAATTTCCAACTTTCTTGGAAAACACAAAGATTTGGCCCATAGCACCTTTCGCGATGGTCATCAGCGGCCAAGGGGCAGCTGTTTGCTGGCATCACTTATTCTTCACGCTCACCCCTTGCCCAGCGCACCAGTCTCTCTAGGGCCTGCCTGGTCCCTGTCAGTGATTGGGCTTTCAAGTCCAAGAAACAGTTCTCCACCCAGAAAATGCTCTACCCCCAGTTGAGGACAACTCGCCCCTCTCTCATGCCCCAGCTGCCTGAACCATCCACATTCATACAGCAGGTACAACCTCCCCCCTCAAAGGACGAGCGTTCAAGGCCACAGGCTCTCCTGGGAGAGATTCCCTCTGCTCGCTGGGAAATTCTCTTCTCATCGCTCTTTAATAGTGACACCCTAGAAAGCAGTCGTGTGATGCTGTGGGTAACAACCAGACAGCCCATGTGCACATCCCTCCCTGCCACTCACTGGCTGTGTGGCCGGCAGTTGGCATAGCAGCCCTGTAGCTAAAACAGGGTGCCAGTTAAGTCTGAATTGCAGATAAGTGACAAAAAAAATTTTAGGATGAACATGTCCTGAATGTTGCATGGGACACATTTACACTAAGTATCTGCTGTCAGTGTGCAAACCAAATGTAAACAGGCATCTGTATTTTATTTGCTAAGTCAACAACATGTCCTCCTGACCTCTGTTTTCTCAGCTGAAAACCAGAAACAATAGTCAGCCTTGTGGGGCTGTTGAGTGTGTAGTGTTTTCAGTAGGACCAGCTCACAGTAAGTGGTTGCTAAGCCCTGAACTATTCACTATCCTGAGTGAGTTGAAAAATTATTTGCTGTCTCTCTCCGTAGAATCCAAGGTCTACATGGGTAGTAACATGATGCCATGTTCTCTGACTCTCCAGTGTCTAGAACAGTGCCTGGCAGAAAGCTGAAACTAAATAGGTAGATATTGCATAAGTAAATGAATACACGCATAAGAAGAGAGGTAATACAACTCCTAGTCATTCATTCATAGATAGAGAGAGAGGCAGACAGACAGACAGACAGACAGATCGTGTGAGAAATCTATTATCTTGTGGGAAATCTATTGCTAGAGAGCAAAGGGGTAGGTATTCTCTTTAGGATGCTATGGACCAAGGAATAGGAGAAACAAAGGTAAAGCCAAGTGGCCAACAGCCAGCTTTTGGTATAGCAGATACACCATTAAATGGTTTACAACCCGCTATTTCCATGTGAGTGGTGATTCATTTTCATTGAAAAGCAAAAATTGAAACAGTTAAGATATCAGAACTCCACTCATCACCGACATGAATTGTTGCTGAATCAGATAATATTCTTAAGTATTTTAGGAATTTTCTCAATTTTCTGAGTTATTTTCAGTGTAATGGGAAAAGCAAAGCACACCTCTGCCCTGGCTACTGAGCTGCTAATGTTAATGAGCTGTCTGGTTTGCCACAGTCCCCACTATGCCCTAGTGACCCTCAGGCAAATCTCCATTGCCATCTGTTAACATGGTTGTGCTACCACTTTTGTTAGAGTTAAAACAAAAGAAAAACATGTCTTGGGCTCAAGATAAGACCCTGATAATTACACTCAGAGAGCGACTCCCCTCTGGTCCCCATTAGCAATAGATTTCCCACACCAGCCGCTCGGTATCTGGCCTCTCAGAAAGGTTTCCAAGCAGACAGAAGTGGGCAAACTGCCCATCACATCCTGAAAAGAAAAGACGCTCCTGCTTCAATTCCTCTTTCCCACCACCCTCCCCAGAGGTGGAGAATGGATGTGCCATTTCAAGCATGTGGTCAGCAATTCCCTAGAGGATGATAAAGCAACATGATGAAGAGAACTGGACACTGCTTTGAAACCAAGTCGCCTCTCATCTCTGCATCTCCCCACGAGCTCTGGACTGTTAGAGATAAGAATAGACTTGGTTTCAGAACTGCTATAATGATGAATCTCTGTTCAAGCACCCCGGACTATACATCTTCATCGAAGGCCAAAAAAGGAAAGAGAGAAAGGACTGTGTATAACATAGCCAGGCAAACTGGACAGAACGTGCTTCTCTGTGGAAACGAAGACTACCACCACCTCGCCCACTTCTCAAACTCACCTGGCCCTGAGTGTGCATCACCTGGGCGCTGAGCGGGGAACATAGCGACAGGTGTCAGGTGCTTACCTGCAGGCTGGGGATGGTGAAGGTCACATTCCGTGAATTCAGATAGGCCAGGACTCTGTGAGGCAGGTCTGCTGTCCACATGTGGGAGCTTCAGCCAAAGATAGACAGGAGAAAGTCACAATGACAGGTACACTGAGCGGCTCTCCACGAGCCCAGTGCCCAGGGACCAGTGGGGCCAGGGGGGGGGTGGGGCCAGGCTGGGTGCTAGAAGCTTTGTGCTTGGAAGTACATCTGTTAACCTGGCATAGATATGAGGGAGCTTCTGATTCTAAGAATCAACCTGGACCCCCTTTTCTCAGTGACAGTGATCAATTGCTGAGCAGTATGCAATAGCTAGTCCCCATAATAACCCACTGAGACTAACTACAACCCACAGACTGACTGGGAAAGATGTCCTTCCTCCATCAAGTCAAACAGCAGGTGCTGTGTGTGCAGTGAGAGGCTGGGACGGTTAAGAGTGTAGGCCCCCAAACCTGGATTTGAATCCTGGTTTTACCATTGATCCTAGTTTTATGGTCCTAGGCCACTTACTGACTTTTCCTGCACTTCACTTTCCCTTTCTATGTCACCTGGCCAACAGTTGTGAGGATTCAATCCATTCTCACATACAAAGCAGTGCCCAGCACACAGAAAATGCAGTTGAATTCCTAACAGCCAAAAACTAGAAACAACTCAAACATCCAACAACAGGTGAAAAGTTAACCATGGTAGACCAGTCAGTGGAATACTACTCATCGATGAAAAAGGAATGAATTAGAGTTTTGCTTCTAACTATGATGGAGTAACAGGGATCAACTCCCTTGGATTTTACTTTTATAATTCCATTTTTGTTATTAACCAGCAGATGAGTAAAGGACGAGATGAAGGCAAGCAGGAGGGAGGGAAGTAAGGAGGAGGTGGGGGGAGGGGAAGAAGAAGGAAGGGAGGGCGGGAGGAAGGGGGATCTTTCGCCTTAAAGACTGTATTTCAAACTATCAACTCATTTATGTTGAGACAGGCGTACGTACGTGTGTACGTGTGGGGGGGTGTATGAGAGAGGCGTGTTTATGGGGCATCCTTCACTTTAAATATTGAGGTACCCCGGATGAGGCACCAAGGCCCTTATTTCTTTTTCTCCATGGTCTTCATCACGTTAGCAGGTTCTTTCGCTGTCTGTCTTTCCACACCCACGCAGCGCCTGGCCTGCAACCTTGGTCTGTACACAGCAGACAGCAGGATCGAACAGGCCATGGACACTGCTGGACACAAACAGCAGCTCTGCACCGCCTGGCAGTGGCCTTGACTCACCTCCCTGCACCTCAGTGTTCTGATTCTGCTCCATGTGAGGCTACAAGACCTACCTCAGGGGCGCCTGTGAGGAGAGAGGTCACCGCACAGGGAAAGGCCCTGCAGCCTGCTCTGTGAATGCCAGCCCTGAGGTGGCGTAGAGAGGAATAAAAGTTTGCAGAACAAACGCATCAACTTTAAAATGCTTGTACATGGCGAATCTTTAGTGCGGTGAGCATACATTACTTTTTATGAGTGAGGGACATCCATTAAGAATTTTTATGAAGAATCTACCCCTCCTTTGCCTTCCCCTAGAGGGTGAGTTACCTTTGAAACTGCATAAGATCCAGTAATGCTACAATGGGAATAAAATGAGAAGACAAGTTAAGAAGGGATGTTTCCAGAGAGATCACAGGCACATTCTGCTTGAAATTCTTAGAAGCTGCAAAGGGGGGACAGAGCAGGGACATTACCATTCAGATAGCTTCCATCTATTATTTCTTCCTAAAAGGCAAAGAGATACCATCAGGTCGGCAGTTCCAGCAGAGGGAATTTTGATTAAAAGAAAAGGGGTACTCACAGCCATTTTTTGCAACAATGGATGCAAATCTGTAAGAAAGCCATTGAATATATAACTAGAATTGGATCCTGTGACCTTCAAAAATATAAATATGGATTAGAAAAAGAGCCCCTTAAAAAGTCACCCATGGAGGAAAACGTTAGTGAATTTTAATTATCCCTGGGCCCATATGCACCCAGTAGGAAAAACCTCGGTTTGAAAAACACTTCTAGATTCACTGAAAACCAAATCTCCATGCACGCATGCATGGCACGCACAGGTGCACGTGCCCAAACACTGCCAGCACCAGGTACTGAAATCTATTCACCCTTCCTGCTCGCCAACAATGTGCAAGCCCTGCCCTCCCACCCCCACCCCCAGGACTTACCCGGCCAGGAAGTCGGAGCCGTGGAACTCGCCACTCCATGGCCCAGCAAAAGGAACAGGAAAAGGAAGTATGCCCTACGTTCCTGGGACATTCTCCTGTCGTTGATACAAGCACAGAAGTAACTCAGGCATGCAGCTTAAAATATATTTAAAACATTGAGACGACAAAGGCAAAGGCAAACAGTCCCAGGTCTTCTGAGGGTTTTTGTTTTGCTTTGTTTTTGAAAGGTTTATTTATACACAGAAGAACTGGGGTGCAGGCCAGAGGTAGGGGGTGGGGAGAAAGGGAGGATTTACCAGAGAGAGAGTGGGGAGCAGAACAGGCAGATCTACTGAAATGCCCTGCTGAGGGCAGCAGCAGGGAGACAGGAGAGGTCTGCTGTGCCATGTGGGTCACGCCCCTGGCCTGAATTGAACTCAAGCCTCAAGGGTGATAGTGCTGAGATATAACAATTAGGGAGGCCCTGAGGTGTTGTTGTGTGTGTGTGTGTGTTTTTTAACAAATTTAAAATTCCACCTTTTTGGCCCCATCTAAACCTCTGTCCTAGTCTAAGAAACAACTGTCACTCTCTCAAGAACAATTGTCTGTTCGTCTTCTTACCACCTCCTTTCCCCCTCAATCCAGCAAAAAGGTGGTTACAAATAGAGACTCTATTATATCTGAGGAAGGATTTATATCCAGAATATTAAAAGAAGTACTATAGTTCAGTAGGAATAAGATAAACAAGCCTTGTGAGAATAGAAAAAAGGTAAGAATTTACAAAAAATTTCATTTAAAAATCAAAAATGGGAAAAAACACATCAAACATTACCGACATCATTAGTTCTGAGAGCATGTAAATTAAGCCCTAAGGAAATACCATTGCATGCCCACTAAAATGGCCGAAAATTAAAAACACTGACAGAACTAAGGGTTGACAATGGTATGGCACTGTAAGAATCCTTACATGTTGATACAGCCATTTTGAAAAATGTTTAGCAAGGTCTTATAAAATTAACTATATCATACTGTATGATCAGAGTTCCATCTGTAGATATCTACCCAAAAGAAGTGAAAATCTATGTTCATACGAAGACTTGCACAGTTTTATTAATAGCTAAAAACTAGAAGCAATTCAAATATCTGATAACAGATGATAGCATAAGCAGAAACAGCATAGCCATTCAATGGAATATCACTCACCGATAAAAAAGGAAGAAGTTAGACATTTTGGTTTCCTGCAATGATGGAATAACAAGCCTAATTCAACCAGCCACCTGGTTCTGTGTGGTTCACAAGCTAAAGGTGGTTTTGGATGTTTAAATGGTTAAAAGAGAAGAAGAAAAATACTTCTTGACATTTGAAAATGTCACGTGTGAAAGTTAAACTGTAGCGTCCATAAACAAAGCCTTATTGTAATACGGCCATGCCCACTCGCTTAGGGGTGGTCTGGGTGGCCTCTGCCTTATGATTCTGTCTAGTCGGAACAAGACTGTGGTCTACAGAGCAGAAAATACTTACTGTCTGCCCCGTTACTGAGAAAGTTTGCCATGCTGGGTTTTAGAACTACGTATTTCCATATTTATAAAAGAAATACGATGTTTTAGATTGTTTCCAAATTATACAAGAGGGACGAAATAGCTGGAAGGCAGGTACAGATGAAACAGGATTGACTGTGGGTTGACAATTGACCGGGGTGATAGACAGCAGTTTTGTGAAAATTAATATCAGAAATCTGATCTAGGGCCCTCCCTGGTGGCACAATGGGTTAGGACTCAGCACTGCAAGCCAGCTGCAGCCACTTCAGTGCAAGTTTGATCCCAGCCCCAGAGGTGACCCACAAGGCGCGGCAGACCTCTCCTGACCTGCCCGCTGCTCCCCTCAGCAGTGTACTCCGCCAATCTACCTGTCCTGCTCCCCTCTCTGTCTCTGGTGAGTCCTTTCACCACCCCTGCACCTGTGGCCTGTAACCCAGTTCTGTATGCATAAATAAATAATCTAAAAGAAAAAAAAAAACCTGATCTAAATAAGGTCAGGAGGCTAATCGAGCTCCCTGGATGCACAAGTGGCAAACTACAAGACCCAGCAGGCCCTGTGTCTCCCGGGGGTGCGGCCTCATCACCCCAGCAGAAGAACGGAAGTGCTTCTTAGGCCAGTAAGATCCCCCCTAAAAGCAGTACAAAGGGAGGCTGGCTTTTGTTCTAGGAAAGTGCCCATGTGTCTCGCCGTAACAAATTGCAAATTGTTACCCAATAAACCCATTTTGACAGCTTTTAGTTTAAGTTTGAGTTTGAGTTTAAGGTTCACTCTTACTTCTACTTTGCATGTGCTTGAAAACTTCTACCTTTGTGGTTTTCAATAACAAAAAGCAAATAAGGCTGTGTGCTTTTAATAAAAAAGAGGGAACTGATGAGGGGGCTAGGAAAGAGAAAGTTGCGTAGCCTGGAGACCAGGAACAAAGCAGATGAGGATGGTATTGGGGCCCTCGAGGGGGGAGATTGGATGGAAACTGACCACTGCACCTGCCGAATCCAACTCTCAGGCTCCCCAGTTACAGATCTACCCCCTAATACACACCTGTGGGTTCTTGAGATTTTATAGGGGCCCCAGAAACCCTCAATACAGATTTCCCAGTGTTAGCTTGTTGTACAGATGGATTCCCCAAGGAGACTTCCACCACCAGCTCTGAAAACAATTCTGCTCATTTACTTGCAAGACAAAAACAAAATGAAACTTGGAAGCCTCCAAGCATGGAAAGCTGTACCTAGTAACAGGTTTCTGAGCAAAGCCCTCCCAAGCACCCTGGAGGTGCCTCCTGCCCCAGCCTGGAGCTAGGAGGCTCCCCTCGAATAATAACTCTTGATCCTTTGGGCTTTTGGCTTTGGGACCCAGCTGGCTCTTTTCTCCTCCCTTCCCTTGGTCAGCTGCCCTAGGGCATTGGCCTCATTCACAATTCTCCAGTTTCACAGACAAAGAGGCTTCTTGTGCTTATTGCTACCATCCCCTTATTAACTCTACGGAGAGGTTTACAATTACTCAAACAGATGCCCGGCTTTCTACTCAGCTTAATGTCTCGGTGCCAGGGAAACCCCAGCCGATCAGCCGTACAGGATTTGGTTTTAATTAAAAGTCCTTTGGGTCACTCTCTTTCAGAAGGGAGTGAAAAGACTGAGCCAGGTAACAGTGATTTGAGGGACGACAGCTTTCTCCATCAGCTCGACCCTTCCCCACCAAAAGGCTCCCTGCTGCAGACCACAGAAGCGAAGGCCAGGGCTGCTTTGGTGGAAACTAAAATATCAACACAGCAACAATAACCACAAAGCTGAGATGAAAAGCCACCCTCGGGGTTTCCTGGGGCTGCGGGGTTCCCTGGGGCTGCGGGGTTCCCGCGACATGAAATGATCAGTTTTAAAAATAGGAAAGTAGGGTCCCCCCTGGTGGCGCAATGGGTTAAAGCACAGCACTGTGAAGCTACCACAGCCACTGCATCAAGACTTTGATCTCCAGCCAGGCGGGTGACCCACATGGTCCCTCTCCTGACCCACCTGCTGCTCCCCTCAGCAGTACATTTCAGTCCATCTGCCTGATCTGCTCCCCACTCTCTGGTGAATCCTCTTTCACACACACACCCCCATCCCCACACCTCTGGCCTGTACCCCAGTTATGTATGCATAAATAAATAAATCTTTTTTAAAAAGGTAGGAAAGTAGCCAGCGAAGCATGACAGGTCGAAGTCATGTCCTCTTCAGTGTAACTTGCAGAGGCGGGGCTGTGCCCCCTATGCTGGAGCTCCCCATCTCAGACAGACGCCAACCACTCAAAACCGCGCGGCCTCGCCGTCTGGAAGCAGCTCCACGTAAGGTCTGCACTGTGGACCCCACGTGCACAGGGGCCGTGGGCACCCACTCGGAGCCGTCCACCAAAAAGCACAAACAAAAACACCAGGACACCATTTTTCATTACTGCGCATGCAGGAGGGGCCAGCGTGTCTGGCTTGTAGAAACCGGTCTGATGCAGGCCACCGGGCTGCTGCACACCTTGCTGTTGGCTGGCCCGGCTCACGGAGCAGCGTCAGCCGAGGGCATGGACACATTCTGCACCACAGGCCCGGACCCTGAGCTCCTGGGCCCTGGCAGTGGGTCAGCGGCCATTGGCCTTCCTCACTTGAGGCTCAGAAAGGAAAGGATAAGAGAGAGGACCTGATTGACTCTCCCTCTGCTCTGAAGGTTTATTTGATTTAGTCTCAAGCGAGGTCCTGGACACACAGGTCACAGAGCAGGCAAAGGCAGAGAGGGAGCCCCATGCTTGGCTTCCTGGCACCCTGAGCCTTAATCTTAGCAACTACTGAACTAGAGAAACTAAGATCCCCCCTCCTCCCCTCCAGACATTAGCTCACTTAACCCCCAACCCCCAGAGCCTTTGAGCCCACTGTTACCATCACCTCCTCTTCACACATGAGGAAACCATATGGAAGAAGTCAAGTGACCTGCCCGAGGTCAAACAGATGCTAAGTGGCAAGGCCAGGTCACAAATCAGAGCTAAATGATGGCAAGCTCTTACCCAGGGCTTTGCTCCCCAGCCTTTCTGCAGAGCTGCCCTGAAGGTAAACGCCTGGGGGCTGGAGGGGGGGGGACTGCAACCTTAGCCTGGAGTCCCAGCTTTAATCTGAACTCCCTGCTATTAGCTTTGTGCTGTTGGGCAAATTCCCTGACCTCTCTGGGCTTGCATTTCCCTCTCTGTACAATGGGGAGGGCACAGCGTGCCTCCTTCACAGACACTGAAACATACTTAAAAGTCCATAAACTTATCCAGTGCACACTGCTGGCTTTACCTGCATTTTCCTATTTCTTGCTCACACAGCTATGAGGCAAGGTATGTAAACGTCCCAGCCGTCACCACCACACTTAAGCGCTCACGAACACCAGCTATTATCAACCCTGCTGTGTCTGCGGCTGGTATTACTGCGACGTGTCATCATCCCAGTTCTGATTACTATCAAGAAGAGGGTTCGGGTCCCTCTCCCGGAAGCCTGAACTCCCCCAACCATGACCTCCCCAATGGACACCCCCTGCCCACGAGCCCGCAAATCCGCAGAACCAGCCCGCAAAGCCC